CATAGTTTAATACAGGAAGTTATTTTAATTATTTTAGTTTTTTGTATTGTTGTTCATTAATAAATTAGTTTAAGACATTTGTAAAAACATGTATATCTATTATCTATATAATAATATAACTTGTTGGATGATTTTTTTCTAATTTAAATTTAAAAGTAGGTCCTGCAGCTAGTACTTACATTAATATTCAAATAATAACGATGATTTTTAAGCAACTTTAAAAAAAAATACATTTCAATAATTTACTATCGGTTGACAGCTTAAAAATATACAACTACTATTATTTTAATGAGTTTTAATATTTTAACATAATATAATAAACATTTAACTAAAACTAGATATTTTTTTTTTATTTAAGTTGTTAACAATATTATGACGGAATAATATTTTAACAAGAAATATGAATAGTATAATTTTATAACTTATAATATCATTTAAAAATTATTGAACTTTCAAAAATAAAGTTGTCTTACCATTTGAGCATTATTTTGATATTAATAAAGAAAATTATATTTCATAACGCTTAAAGATTTATAAACCAAGTATAAATACAATTTAACTATTTAGCTATTAATTCGTTAATTAGGTATTCTATAATTTAAATTTAAATTTGTGTTCAGATTCTTAAACGTGTTTAAATTTTTAAGATCAGCTGCTTAATATTTTACATCATAATATAACTCGATGTTTTAATAACCCATAATACATACAATAATATATTACAATATAATATTAAATTTTAAAATAATATCAAAATACGAAATAGAATATAGCCAAGAATTGTAATAAACCTACATAATTAACATCCAAATATTTAATCTAAAATCTTATTTTATTGTTTGTTTTGTTATTTGTCCTATTTTATAGATGTTAAGTAATGTTTATTATACGAATGTAATAATATAATTGCCTTATAGTAGTCAAAGCAGACATTTTTATAATTTCAATAGCGATATAAAAAAAAAATTATTGATATTATAGGTACAAATTCAAAATATTATATTATCTAATACATTAAAATAAATTGTCAGTAACAATATTATTATCAACATGTTTAGAATTGATAATACAATAGCAGTATACAACATCCAGAGACCATATTGAATCCAACAAATTCACCGACGTGTTTCACAGCACACTCGGCTATTTATTTTATCTCAATCAGCGTGTGGACTATTAAATTACAACTACTGTTAAACGATAACATTATTAATTACTTTGGATCACTACAGCAGCAAAACTGTAATAGTTTCCCCGATTTGTAATCAGTCCAACGTATAAACACGGACAAATGTGGTTGACAATCGATGGCCCGTCGCAGCTTCAACAGCGTGCTGTACTATGCATAATAGATAATACAATTATAATAATATGCACTAAACGTCTAAACCTATAATAGGTACAATATGCTACTACAGACCACAAGCATCGTATACCATAGTGCAAAATCGTATACTCATTAGCAGCCTGCGATCTAAAATTACCTATGAAACGGTAAAACGTTATGATTTTGTTACCCGCTTTATATTATCATCATATTGTATCGACAAACGATTTAACTGCAGATGGTACTGTCGAGAGGTATTTTATGAGTTTATGACTTATAATAAAATAATAAAAGACCATTTTTTTTTTTTGTTGCTTTCCGTCATTGTTAAATAATATTACGATACAGACTTTCAGTGGCATAAACTCAATCCATATATACTGCAGTGCAGTACATACAGCTTCGATTGGAATAAGTGTACAAAGTATATAGGTACCTATATTATGTTATACTTATATAATATTTGAAACATATATAATCTCCTGACGTAAACCTTATCCCGTGAATTTTCTGTTCGCTATAAATTAGGACTTATATTGGTCACTATATTATTATATACTTACATCCGATATCGCCGATTCGGCTTAATATTTAAAAATTGTATACATGGTTGTTACATCGAAAAAACTGTAATAATTCCCAGTACGCAATACGTTGATGAATTTCACACAACTTTTTAAACAGCCAATCACATTTTTTTAATACATGAGGGGATGTTTTTTTATATTTTGGAAAGAATATTGGCAAATACACAGAAAACTAAAAAGTAGGTATGCGCAGATTCCAAAAATCTACAGTTAAAGAAGTATGTAAGACTTAATATTATAATATAGTAAATTTAAGGTAAAATATGTTATTTGTACTATTATTTTTATATATAAATCATTACTTTAATAAAATTATTTCAAAAATGAATAATATAGTTATATAAAAAATGGTAAAACGTGGTCAAGATCTGTCGTGGATTTGTTTATTTAAGTACAAAGTGGAGGTTGGAGGTACGTATACATTTACAGGTGTTCCAAACTGTACTCTCACCCACAGTTATGACCGACTGAAAATAATCTGCAGGCTAATGACCTTATATTAACTCAATAAAATAAAAAAATAATAATAATAAAAACCTTTATTGAACAAATATTATAGGTAATGCAACATAATAAAAATCTTTATTAAACAAATTGATGAGTTTAGTTTAATAAAAAAAACTTCTGGTAAACATTTTTAATGTAAAGAAAGATATTATATTACTTTTTAATATAATTATAAAAATAATTGACATGGTTATAAAAATATGAGTTTTTAATTATTTTTTTGATAATCTTATGTTAACATGTTTATAAGAGGATGGACATTAGACATATTGTATTATCCACAACTTTAGGATTTATGTTTGTTCAACCACAATGAATAGTGCTATTCATGTTGGACGGGCCGAATTTGATGAAGACAAACCAGGCTGATTTGTTTTTCAAAACTATACTCGTATAGGTACCTATAAATAAATATTTTAGTTACCTACATAATTACAACAATACAAATATTAAATTTAAAATGTAAAATATAAAACTATTGATGTACCTATTGATTATAATAATTAAACTGAAAATATCTAGATATAATAATAACCCAATGAAGAAAAAAAATAATTAAATTAAAAAATATTAATCATATAATAAAATTTGAGATAAAATAAAAGACACGGGTAATTTTTTAGTCCATGTAAAACAACTAATCGAAATGTCAGGTTTAGTATAGAAATGTTTCTAGTTTGATATTAGTTTTACTGTTTAGTGTATACCTATCATAATGTGTACAATATACAATTTTATATCGTCTTATAATATAGTTGTTGTGATTTAATTCTCATCCTTCGAATCGTCTATAGTAGTTTCTATAATAATAATATGAAAACAAAAACTACCAGCGATGTACAAAAATGATGACAAAAAATGTGTTACAGCAAAAGTACACTGTACAGCGTACAGGGTGATATATTATGACTTTTATTGTGAACCGGGCAAAACACAATGTGTTTTAGACTTTTAAATGTAAGAACAAATATACTTGCATAAAAAGAAAACGGATTTTGAAGCGAAAAAATGAACAAAATAAAAAAAATACAATAGGTATATAGTTAATTTAACCATTAAGATTATTTACAGTTGTAATTAATCAACGATAGTATTTTTTTTTTTACAGCTGTATCATGCATATATTTTCCTCCTTAACAGGAGCACGTTTTCAATTTTTCAATTTTTTTTTTCAACGGTTATATACGTTATTACGTTAATATCACACAATATTTACGAAACAAAATCATTCTAAAATTACTTAACTTCTGTACTAATTTTCCAACGGCGCACTACTCTTAAATACCTAGTATCGACACTGAGCTCCGCATGGACGTTTTAAATTATAAAATAGTTGTAGCGCCGTAGCGGTACATTATAAAATTGTAGAAAGTTGTAAAAACTTGTATACGTTGTACTTATGGCGTTGTTTTTAATTTGAAGCTTCTAAAATGGTGATTATTGGCTTTTAACAATAATTAAAAAGTACTTATACCTATGATAAGGTGGTTATTTTTACGTTTTACGGTATGTACAAAGAAAGAAAACAAGATGGAACAATACTATATAGTACAACATCGATACAAATGAGGCTGATTAAATTAAGTTGTAAAATCTAGTTAATTTTATAAATCCGAATATTTTTTCAATTTTGTCAGGATCGGGGGGCCTAGTCCTCCAAGGAGGCAATTTGCTGTCTTAGCTGAGTATCACATTGTTGTATGGTTCTGTCCAACAATAGACAATAATTAAGATTATTGGACTCGGAGTTAATTTGGTGGAAAACCTGGCAAATTGTTAAACAAAATTGTAGTGTATACCTTACGCACTTAGACAATATAGGTACTCAATTATACTGCCTTATTTATAATTAGTCAAATGTGGCGTGTAAGTGTGTAATACAGGTAGTGTTGCTCAGGCCACACCTTAAATATGAGTGGGTGGATAATGGGTATTGATATAGAAGCAAAATATTATGAAATTTTATAGGTCGGTATAATAATATCAAGTGGGGTAGGTCACCTTAAATTATTTTAGCAACACCAATTTTTTTTCTATGATACACAAAACGCTGATAATAATATTGTGATATACAAAAAAACCTCAACTATATTATTATCTTTTACACTGTTTGATATTGATTTGAATTCATTATTTTTATGCATTATTATGACATAATATAATATGTAGCAAAAAAAAAATATATATAAAAATCATTTAAAATACGATTGCGATCTCAAAATTTTCTTGCAACCGTTAACCATGATGTACATAATTATATTATGATAGGTAGGAGTCGAAATCATCATCATTATAATAATACGTATAATATTGAACGACATTTCGACATAATTATATAATATATATGATATAGATAAAAACATAAAAAAGCACTACACTCTGGCCAATACTCGATAATATTGGTATCGAGGAAGGGGTGGGGTTGGGGTAGATATTATTATATGGTAGAAAAAATAAGAAATGTTAAAAAATTCACCGTCCATTATAGTCCGTACTTAGTACTATTAATAATATTACTCGGACGTAACCGACGGGGATGATGGAGGGGGTCGGTGGTGGGAATAGAGTCGTCCGCGGACATGTGTGGTGGTACGGCCGGCGGTTCGCCATCTGGCGGGCGGGCGAGAGCGACGTCGTCGGTTATTTTTTTCCGTTCAACCGTAACCGCGCACGCGGCCACCGACGGCATCGTCGGCACTTTGGCAGTTTGGCGTGCCGGCGCGTCAGTACCCGCTGGTATATCGTGCTCGCTACTCGGTAGTCGCGGTGTCGCAATGCGGTGCGCATCGGTACGGTCGTCGTCGTCGTCGTCGTCGTCGTTGTCGTCGTCCGCGCGCGGTGTACCGTCCAACGTCGGGCGGCCCGGTAACGCGGTATTATGGCAATAATATTAATATAACAGTATTTTATTATACCGTCGCATTGGACATAATATTAAATAAAAAAAAAAAGGAATCGCGGTTGGTCCGCAATTTTCTCGTTCGATCGTATTTATTTTTCTTCTATAGTCGTTACGAAACATTACATCGATTTTTGTCGATTACATATTTTTACAATAATATAATTATAATATTATATCATCACCGTTCGCTCGGCGGCATGATTGTTGTGACGGTGGTACAGGTGGTGGCCGTCGCACGATGAGGGGGTCGCCGCATTATCACAACAACAACAACAACCCGATACAGAATCAGCAGTACCATCAGTACCACCACGGTTGCGGCAGTGGCAGTGGCTTCGGCAGGCGCGCCCGACCCAGACACGGGTGGCCCGAAGCCGCGGTCGCCGTCTACGCGGCCGTCGCCGTGGCCGTGACCGTGTGCTATTGGAACGGTTTGCGCGGCGATTTCGTGCACGACGACATACCGGCCGTGGCCATGAACGCCGACGTGCTGGGCACCGGCCCACTGGCCCGCGTGGCCACCAACGACTTCTGGGGCACACCGCTGTCGGACCCCAACAGCCACAAGTCGTACCGACCGCTGACCACGCTGACTTTCAGGTGCGACCAATCGCATGCGATAATATTAATATTATTGTTGCTTATCGATATTATAATATTCTATATATGCGCGTCTGTTGCTGTAGCTGCAGCGCAGTGGAAAGCGGTCTTCTCGAATTCATTGGCAGAAATTGTTGGGGGGGGGGATCTTTAAAGGGCTTAGCCCTCCCAAAAGTCCGTCAAGCCTACTCCTTTTGTAGTTTTGTAGGATTGAAGCCCACCAGCTCACGTTTATGTTAATAATGTTGGCCCCCTCCCCTGAAATTATAATGGATTTCCGCCTATGTATTTTCGATAGGGCGGTGTTTATGTTTCGTGCCTAAATGACATAATATTATAAATGTATATATTCACGACGAAGGGGCAAATTTATTCTAAATTCCGCTTATTTTTTGGAAATGCATTAGGTACCTAAAAACATGATATTATTATTATCATCAACCACTTCGAATTTTCTGTCTTATAGACAGTGTTGCTACTTATCTAGATGAAAATTGCATTATATATTATTTTATCTTGATAAAAATCTACTGGTCACCTTTTTATTTAGATGAAAACATCAGTTATCAGCTATTAATTTATCTAGATATAATTTTGTATGTATAGACATATTTTATTTAATATTAATGTATATTAAACATGTTTAAATTTTGTGTTCGAAAACCATACTAATTTGATTTACCAGACAGTTGTAGTACTTTCAAATAGTATGAACAAATTATTCCAAGTAGTCATAAACTCATAAAATATAAAACATAGGTAATCTTGTTAGTCAATACACGGAATAGATTTAATCAATTCTGTGGTCAATATTCCATAATTTATTGTTGGCTGTTCCGTTAATATTTAATGTAGGTAGGTACATGATTATTTTTGATCGGCTTTGGTGGCAGAAAAACACAACGTCTTATATAAATAATAGTGTTATTGTTACACAAATTCGATTATAGCGTCTTTGTGCTTATACTTTTTTAGAAGAATAATTATTAGTCCATATTATAATATATTATATTATGTAATAATTTAATTGAATATTATGCACTAGATACGTACATGATATTTTTATATTCCTTGAAATTACCAATGAAAATTTAAATACATAATATTAGGGATCAAAATTTTCGAAAAAGACCCGGTTTTTTCGGAAAAATTGGGAAAAATCGATTTCATTTAAACTTTCCGGAAAAAATGGTTTTTTTTTTCTAAAGAACTGAAAAAGTAATGTATATATAGAGGATAGAATCTAATAAATAATGATAGTTGATAATCATATTACATACATATTTTATATACCTTACCTAACTTAAAGTCTGTAGTGGTTAAATCTAGAGGATTCTATATTTGATTCATAAATAATTATAATTTGTAATATTAATGCCTAAAGTACTAACTATTAAGTATTTACAATGTAGCAATTTCTTATTAGTTATTAATTTTACAACTCACTAAGTTTGAAAATATAAAAACTTTAAAATAGTTACTAGTCATCACTCACTACTCCCCAGTCACTGTAATATAATTTATAAACCTATCAGCCAGTTACTATAATACATTATTAGTTATTACAAATATAAATAGACAATAACTGTACAATTTTTAACATTTAGAAATACAAGTGATTTATATTACAGGGGAAATTCACTCTCCCACATAAGTACCAATTTGATATGTAACTACGTTGTTTTTAGATCAAATATTATAATATATATATATATATATCCGTATTAATATTTTTAATAGTTCAATTTTAAATTTTAATACAATAATATAATATATGATAACCGTATTGGTAAATGTGAAATGACAATGACAGGTTTCCTTATCTATTTTTAAAATTGTTTTTTTCTACATAGATTATTTTAATTTTTAATCGTAAATACAATTTTATAATTTTCCGAAAATTCGGCTTTTTTTTTTTTAATTTTCCGAAAACTTTGGTTTTTTCGGAAATGTATTATTTTAATATTCTCCAATTTTTCCACTTTTTCCGAGGCTCTGTGAAAAAAACAGTTTTTTTCCTAAATTTTCCGGCATTTTGATTCCTACATAGTATTATACGGGTGTGTTTCATACAATGCCCTCAGACTACGACTACTGTAGCGACAGGTACATATATTATAAATTATAATATAATATATATTATGCACCATTATCAATGTCAATTTTATTACTAATATATACACAGTATACATAATTAATATAGGTACATAGTACATACATAGCTATATACTTCAGACTTTATATTTTAGAATCAGATTATTAAAACACATTATACACAAACACAATATAATATTATAAAACGCATCAACTCGGCCAGTAACTGTCACTATCATTCTTTTGTGTTCTTGTGACTTGACCAATTTGTTTATTATAATTTATAATATTATACATATTTCAAATACCTACTGTATAATATTTTGAGATATTTTATTTTAACAATTTGAACTACTCTACTTCAATGTTCTTAATGACGAGTTAAGAGAACGCTATCCCTTCACTTGTTGTCTCCGTCTTACACACGTACCTACTTTCGGTAATATTATTTCAGTCGTCACACGGTGGTGTTTTACCCTCTTGAATAAGATTATTAATTTTTTATAAATCATAAATAAAAATTATTATTTCATTTAGAAATAAACTAATGCTTACCTACGTTTACGTAATAATATATTATAATACAAACTATAATATATTTTTAAGTACGAAAAATCCCAGGGGGACAGTACTTCCGAGCTTCTATTAAAGATATTAAAACTTGCATGATATCTGTTGACAAAACTGTTGGGCTTGACGGATTTTGATTAATTAACGAGTTTACTATGTTTTGACTAAAGCAAATTTTAAAATTTGTCATTTCAATTGAAATATTATATAAATAAACGTAGAAACAGTATTTTATTATAATATTTCAACCGTTTATATTATTAATAGTAAATAAAACTTTTGGAAATTCAAAAATCTATATGCGTCCAACCACCAAATTCCTGGGAGATTAGGTCTAGAATATAATATACAATAAAATTTAGAAAATAATAACTGCCGTCTCCTTCAGAGAACGTTTCACCGTCGGTTTTTAAGGGTTTAATCAAGTTGATCTTAACGGAATTCAAGAAACATTAAAATATATTTAAATACCAAATATTAAAGTATTTTACAGGTGGTTATGTCAATGCCGTTGTTCGTTGTTGCATATTTACAAGAGATTGTGTAGATTATACATAATTTATTAAAATATGTAAATGCAGACTGGCTATAACTGTTGTTTCTAGTATGATTTTAGAACCTAAACACTTACCTATTATAAAATCATAAGGGCGAAAAACTTTGCAAAAATAACAAATACATTTTAGAATATAATGATATTTAGTATTTATTTTACAATCAATTAATATTTTTTGCTACTTTCAACACCTGTTGTTATTTTTTGTGCTATTCTTTTTATTAGAAAAATGGATATTTCGTTATCTACTTATGATTGTTTACTTTAAATTGTGTAATACACGTTTCCAACTAATGCTGATAATATTATGAAGATGAAAATCTATATACGTGAAAGTATAGATTTTATATGTTTGAAAGATGTGTGGTTTTTTTGAGAACCCTTAACGACTCGAAGGCCCAGTCAAATAGGGTTTTCGACTCCATTACAAACAGAAATTATACCATTGAAATAACTGCAGCAGCTATATTACAGTGCCGTTTTCCTTTATCCACGTAAAATTAAATCTGTACTGCCGATTAACCGAACATCCAAATGGGTATTTAAAAAAATATTTTTCGAAGCCCAAAAATAATTTATTGTGTTTATATACACTTGAAATGTACGATCACCATAGTTTGAAAAACAATTTCGATGTTTAATATTATTGTTAAACACTGTTCAATTATGTTCTATACATATACGCTCAGGAACATAAAAAATAAAAACAGTGATGGCAAAATAATTGTACCTAGTAAATTAGTAAATATTAATATTTACGTACACACATTTTGATGACAGTTAAACGATGGGCAAATTAACAGTGATCAATAGTTAATTACAGGAATAAATTGTATCTTTATACTCAATAGCGATTACCTAAACAACTTTGAACAAAAAATTAATGTAATTTAAATAATTTTTTGAATGAACTGTACAAGCCGTAATTGATTAATAGTACCTGCCATCTGTATAATATCTTATATCTGTAGAATGAATTTTTTCATGTTATTTATAGCTTACTAATTTGTATATCCATGTAACAACTGATTACCACTGATACCACTTATAACTTGGGTTTGAATAGCTAATGTGATATTCAGACGTAGACTTAAATATTCATAATAACATAATGTACCTATATAGTCCAGAATTTTTTTTTTTAAACAAATTAATTTGATTGTTTTTGTTTCATAACGTATCCAATTTATATTATTTGTCTCATGTGCGAACTTATATGTAAGACAGTATATCATCGGTACACTGATATCTACGCTATATTTTATCAAACTTTAAGCTACACAATATTATAATACAAATTAGACAATTGCTTAAAAAATAGTAAGGCAGTTGAAATATACGATTCATCAAATTAAAATTAAACATAAGTAGATGTTTATTTCTTGTGGCAATTGTGGATGATTTTCAAGGAAGTATTCGAGACATGTAAAATAATTTAAAAATAAATTGTGAGGTAAGGTGAATCCCATATCAGATGTATGGATTTATATTTTAATTTTCATCATTTATAGGTAAATTAAAAATAAACAAATATAAGTTATTTATATAGAGTAAAATGATGTTCATTTCACTGAACAAATTATAATATAAATAATTTATCTTTTAAGTTATAACAAATGCAACTAAAAAAACATCTATTAATTTTTTTATTATTATCTAGAATTACTTTGTCACAAGCTTATATAGGTACAGTTTCCCTTTTATATTTTTTGGGAATTTAATAATATTTATAGTAAAATGTAATTTTATAAATTATTATAATATAATACAGTGGCGTAGA